AGAGAGAGAGAGAGAGAGAGAAAGGGAGAAAGAGAGAGAGAGTAAAATCATTTATTTGTTGTAAGTAAATACAAGTTTTTTGAAGTTGTTGAAGTAAAACAAAAAAAATCGCGTTTTTTGTTCTAATTTTTTCGTAAGTTTAAAAAATAACCGTTGTCATAAATACTGGTAAATATACTTTATATTTAAACAGTTTCTGCTAAAACTGACACGCGCAACAGAAATATGAATGATGATTTTATAACTTCTAAGAACTTTCTTGAATTACGATGCAATTAACTGAACAATTGGATGATTAGAGCTCATAACGTGTTTATTCATTATTCATGCTTAAAGACGCATTAATACGTTATCAGCGAATTTTAAATAATTTAGCCAATTTTAACAAAATTATTAATTTTAATTAAATTTCTAAAAAAATTATTACTAATAGCATCTCTGTTAGTGTTATTAAAATAGGCTAAGCTTAATCTCGAGACTTAAATAAATTAATGTTTTCTTTCAATCGATTGCCAAGTTATATTTACAACACTATCACTACTACTAATACTACTACTACTACTACTACTACTACTACTACTACTACTACTACTACTACTACTACTAGTGCTGCTGCTGCTGCTACTACTACTACAGTGGGGTCATGGCTGTGTGTGTGTGTGTGTGCGTGCGTGCCTAAAATGTATGTACAAATAACGCTGGGGCCTGTTTTAAATGCAGGGCAAAGCTCATTTTAAGAAATTATAAATAATTATTGAAATGTCTATTATTATTATTAAATTAACAAATGAAACGTAATGATTAATAATTGTTAGAAACACATGAATTAACAAATGAAACGTAATGATTAATAATTGTTAGAAACACACACACAAACACACACAAACACACACAAACACACACAAAAACAAACACACACAATTACACACATACACACACAAACACACGTACACGCAAAGTGTTTTAGTACAAACCTATATAATAAGAATGATAACCTTATCTAATACACATAAACGTAAATTAAATAATAAATAGATAAAATTAATATCAATAAAGTTCAGTTGGTCTTATAATATTGTTAATATTAATAAATGAAGCAACGGTAGATAAATAACTGTTTGCCACCATTCAGTGTTTGGTTCAACATTTAATCTGACTAGTTACAACAAAAATTTGTTTACTTTTGACCGACCGACCACCCAACCAACCAATCAGATCACTTGAAAACCAGTCACCTACAAGCCAACCAATCAGATCACTTGAGAACCAGCCACCAAACACAGCCAACCAATCAGATTACTTGAAAACCGGCCACCCAACCAGCCGACCAATCAAATTACTTGAGAAGATACAGCGGCCAATAGATGAAGTTAAATATGAAAAACATGATGGGGAATATGAAACGAGAAACCATGTCGACCAAAGCCGCGTCCGTTATGTCTGTACACCACAGTCTTGCTTTCAACTTCTTGAATGAAGTCTGAACGATAATTTTTTTAAGAAATTATTTAATTAATTATAACTTCATAATTTATTATAATTATTATTTATAATTATCGGATTATTTATAATAATAGTAATAAACAATCGCCAGCCAACCGCATCACGTAAAAACCAACATTCTTAGTAGACGGACAGGGTTTATTTTTATCCCGTCTAGCCAAAACATTGACGACTGAGTATTCGATGAACGCGCCAAACACAAAAACCAGACAGGTAGCCATCCAGACGTCTATGGCCTTCGTAAAGGAGACGGCGGGGAAACGACCTTGACCTGAACTCTGGGTCGTGATTGTCAACATTGTCAGTATGCCCAGAGATATGCGTGCTGGTACCTGTTAATATGGGTGTATATAAGTATGTGTATGTGTGTGTGTGTATGTGTGTGTGTGTATGTGTGTGTTAAAAGTTAAAAAAGGTTTCTCTCTCTTTTGCGTTTCCTCCAGAGGTTTCAACGACAAACACACACAGCGTATAAGAATACGTGTGCAAACCACGCATCATACACATTGCATATGATAGGCGGGGATCTCTTTGTATTCGAACCCAGTCATAGCAATAGCAAGACCAGACGCCATTAACCATTGAGCCATCACGCCGCCATCATAGTGTGTGTCACTACCAGCACCGCAAAAACAACAGCAGCAGCAGCACCACCACCCACTGATTCCAGATCAATCCAGAAAGAGACCCAGGACAGCAGTACAACCAGCAAGCTGGGCAGATAGACTGACAACACGTAGGCCCTCAACCTTCTTTCGAGGTGGAAATATGCCCTCAAGCACGGAAAGTTGCCTGAAAATGACGTAATAAAATAGAAATTAAGGATACTACTACTACTGCAGCTACTACTACTGCTGCTGCTGCTACAACAACAACAACTACTACTACACACCGTTATCAACAACAAAACACAGGCACCTGTACTACTCATCTGTTGGCTGCAAACGATGTGTGAGATGCCCTGGATGATGTACTCTGGCAGGCTGATGGAAGGGTTCACCTCCACGGGCTTCGCATCAGTTCGCCAAAAAAACATTAATTCGTCAGTTGTGTAGGCGTCTGCATCATTGAGAATGATAGCGTTGGTGGCCAGGGTAGTAACAATAATGGCGTTGGTGGTAAGGGTGGCGGCGATGATGGTGTTGGTGGTGAAGGCGATGATGTTGGTGATGAGGATGACGGCGATAATCACCTAGTGGTAGATGATTATTTGAGTTAGAAATCAACGTGATGGCCAGTTTGCAAATATATATAAAAATGTAACGGGCATATACATGAATGAGTGAACGAACGAACAAATGAATAAATAAATGAATGAACAAACAAACAAACAAGCAAACGAACGAATAAACAAACATAAAAAAATTTATAAAAAACCATCAAAAATCCGCAACTAACAACTGCCCAATTCAATTTTGCACGTCTGATTGTCCATGGGATATTTATTGAACTGCATATCGCAGGCCAGCGTTAGCGATAAGCGTTGGCTATACAGGATCGTCCCATCTGGAGAGATTCGGATCAAACGATTAGGAACGGTAATTTGGTGGAAAACCCCGGCTTTCAGGTTGCGTACAAATACATCGGGGGTCCAGAGTCTATCAAATTGTCTGTGGTTTAGTGTTAAGTTTGATTTCGTGTGCGTGTATCTCAGGCGCTCATCTCGCCACATCTGCCGTAAGTACATCGTCATCGAGAATTCCTGTTTGTGTGTGTGTTTGTGTGTGTTTGTGTGTGTGTGTGTGCGTGTGTGTGTGCGCGTGTGTGTGTGTGCGTGAGTTTGTGTGTGTGTGCGTGTGTGTGTGCATGCCAGATAGTGATGCTGCTGCTACAGATGATGATGGTGGGTGATTAAGAGGGTGCACTAATTCTTGCATAAGGATTTTGGTCATAAAACCAGGCTATCATGTTTCAGATATTCCTTATAAAGAGGAAGATGATCACGATGAAGTCAATGATGATGATGATGATGAATGTGTGTATGTATGTACACACGCACACGCACAAACACACGTACACACGCGCAAATAAACATAACTCTAAAACCATTCAAACACTCATCTCACGATCTAAGTAATGTTAAAATAATCCTCTTAAGCATCGATAACGATGGTCTTCTGTATTCATATTAAAAATCAACAAACACATACACACACGTATACACACACACACACACACACACACACGCGCGTACACACATTAATGTTATTTCCGTTATGAGTTTGGTAATTTATCGTTAACGTAATATTAATATTTGTCTCATGTTTTTGATTGATTGGTAGATATTGGTAGAACCGTCGGAATATTAAGTGTGTGCTTGTGTGTGATTGTTTTATGTGTGTGTGTTTTGTGTGTGTGTTGTGTGTGTGTGTGTTGTGTTGTGTGTGCGTACAAAATTGCCCAACTGGATACTTTATAGGCTTATTAGGGCTTCAAAAAATTAATAAATTAACGAGTTAATGATTGAATTAACGAATGATTGAATGAATGATTAAATGAATGAATGGATGAATGAATAAATAAATAAGTGAATGAACGAGTGAATGAATGAATAATAATTCAATACAAATATTGTTTGTGGTTTTCCAGCTTTAAATTTATTTAAAAGTAATGGAAAAAATTTATTTACAATTTGTTAAGGGAGAAAAAAAAGAATTATTTTCGACTATTGATATGAAAGAAAAGTCTTATAATATCATTAAAACGTTATCATCATCATTTTCGTTATTATTTTCATTATTATCATTATCATTATTATTATTGTATTGTTATATTGTTATTATTAACATTATTATTATTATTATTATTATTATTATTATTATTATTATTATTAAATTAACACTATTTTTATTGCATAATTTTATTGGAAGGTTGAAATAATAGTCGTTCCCGTTATTATTATCATTATCATCATCATCATTATTATTATTATTATTATTATTATTATTATTGTTGTTGTTGTTGTTGTTGTTGATATTAAATGCGGAGGAGACATAAGGGATGTTGTTGAATCCGGAAAAATTTTCATAGCGCTGAAATGCTTTTAATATTTTTAGCAGCAGGTCCCGAGCTGGGAAATAAAATGCATTATTAGATTTCTAAATTGATTTTGTCCTGACGTGTTTGTCATCTTAGGTTGGCTGTTGCTGGCGAGGAAGTAGAAGATGACGATGATGATGAAGATGGCTATAATGAGGACGACGATGATGAAGACGATGAAGAGGAAGACGATGATGAAGGCGATGACGACGATGGTGTTGCTTTCAAATCTGCTCTTTATCTTTTCAATATAATGACGTTATGCGGTTGAAAAGGACGGCGATGTTGAAGATGGTGATGATGTTAACATGATAATAGCAAAGGGCTGAATGACGATAGTGACGTAATGGTGATGACATCCTGCCGCAACAGGCCAGCCATAATGAGTAAAGATGAACATTTGTTGATGACAATTTTTTTAAATTTTAAAGTTTGAAAAATGGTACACGTTCAATTTTAAATTTTTGAAATGATTTCGTACGTTCGACGCCTTTGTTGAACTCTTCACACACTTTCACCCACATCTTCCCACACTTTCATTCACATTTTCGTCTCAGGATTTCACGTCCAAATTATTTGAAGAAGCAAGGACCAGGCTGGGGGCGGATAATCTTACTGAAGGCATCTAACTTCAATTTTGGTTGCGGCACAGGTGGTTCATTTGTACTGAAGTGTTTCCGGTACCAAGAAATTTCGCTTCTGTCCAGGGACCACTTCGGCCGCCATAAGCTGCCATCTATCTTGCAGGTGATGCTGTTTGGTATGTTGCACTGCTGACCGATGAGGATTGGCTTTTCCAGGAAAGAATCTGGGATTTGGTTTTTCTTGGAGTTGGAAATGTTTTTGACCAAAGTGAAACGTTTCTTAGGCGGTTCAGGCTTGGTGTTGTACTTTGTAGTCAGGTGTTCCGGTGTTTTTATAGTTGCAATCAGGGGATTCTCCTTATTAAAGTACTGACTCTGCAAATCGTATCTCTTACAGCTAACTGTTTCGTAAAGGTAGCGATTGGAAAATTTCACAAGTTGATCGTTTTTGTTTTCAGCGACGTTCGCTAACTTAGACAGAGGTTGTTCCACGTCCAGACTGGAGCTGACAATCGCTTCATCAGTGTGAGCCTCATGACCCTGATGGCTGAAACTACTCTGCTGACTGTGACGACTATGCTGACTCAATCTCGATCCTGTGTGGAAACTTTCCTCACGTTCGGCGAGGTCCCGCGCCAGCTTCGAGCTCTCCTGGTAGGCGAGGAACTGGTCGTTCCTGGTGTCGGCGTCGCCAGAGTAAAAATTCTTGGCGTTCGCTTGTTTCCCAGGCATGATTTTGAAGTTTTCTGTCGAGTTTTTCAAATTGATTTCAATGAAAGGAGAATTGTGGTTGTTCTTCCACGATTTTGATTTGTCGCTAAATTTCCCATGAGAATCTGTCTTACGAGAATGCATGTTCGGTTGAGGTGACCTATCTAATTTCTTAACGATTCCTAGCGCGTCGTGTATCTGAAGAGATATGGAAGTGAATTTCGAGAACAGTAGTGTAAGGGATGGTCGTACACTTGCAGTGGCGATGATGTTGTTTCGTTCGTTGAAAATCGTTCGATTGGTGATTAACTTTTTTTTATAAAAATTTTTACTAACGCAGTTTATTTTATAAAAAAAAATTGATAGATAAATTAGATTTCGTAAAGTCAGTCAATCAAAGCAAACTTCAAATTTTCTTTTTTTATTTTTATCTTAGAATCGTTTTCAGCCTCAATTTTTTACGAATCTGCGAAAGACTTTAAAGTATTTTCACAAAACTTCCAACAAACCGCTGTTTCGAAGTTATTTAAAAAAAAACTTTCTACATGCAATAATCACACGCTAGCAAGTGCATGCTGCGTTCAACTCCGACCATTCTGAAGGCAGGCGACAATAGCAACGTTCGATACTCCCAACCTAGCGGCAAAAAAATTTTAAATATTAAAATCTTTCGATATTGGTTATAAAGTTGTTATTCCGGGTGTTATGCTGTTAGCGATGTTGGTTAGCTTCACAGATAGATAGAGCATGTGTGTTGAATGTTTCAATATTACGGCTACTGTTCGATCCTAATACTGTTGTTGTTTTCATTATTGATGACGTCATGCATGTTTAACATAAATAAATTTCGGAGATGGCATGATAAGCCGATAAAATTTTTTGCGGTTTGTTTTTTGTTTTTTTTTTTATAATAAAATGGTTTATTCTAAATTAAATTAAAATAAAAGTTCGTTCTCTTTGATGAAAATAAGACAATCAACTAACCAACCAGCCAATCAACCAATCAACCAACCAACCAACCAATTAATTAACCAACCAACCAACCAATTAACCAACCAACCAACCAGCCAGCCGGCCGGCCAACCAACCGACCAATTAACCAACCTAACCAACCATTTTAGTTTCGCTGATAGAGCTGATGTCGTTGATGTTCATGTTGATGTAAATGTTCAACGGCTTACCTATAATTGAGTTGAGATGATGGTGACGATGACGACGATGATGAAGAAAATAATGATGATAATATAGCTGTCGAAAAATTAATTTCAGGCAGAAAAGATGCTAATGTGCCAAAAGACAATTTCACACATTAAACCAAAAAATAGTTTAAAAAAATAATATCTTGAATGAAATCTCAGCCAATAACAGGGCATCACGCTGTATTGATAATATCATTAGAAACCTTAAAGGAAAATTTTCTATCAAATTTGGAATTAAAAAACTCAAAAAATCTATACCTGATATATAAACATTTTTATGATATCTACATACACGTACAAACACACTCGCACAAACACACAAACACAGACACTCATATATATATATATATATATATATATATATATATATATATATATTTATATTATCGTATGGGGACAAAAATTTTGCTCGAGGAAGTGATCATTGATTCATCATTCACAGACGACTGGCTTTCAAGTGGCTGTGTTATCAAAGGAAAAGCCGACAATGAAGCGACGACTGGGACGACGACGATGATAATGTTGTTGGTGATGATGATGACGACGATGATAACGCTGGTGATGATGATGATGATGATAATGATGATGGCAAGAAGGCATCATCATAATTATCACATCATCAGCAAAGATGCCATAATTATCACATCAGCTAAGATAATTACGATAAAGATGATGATGAATTAAAAGAGTGATAACACTGATGATGACAAGATGGTGTTGAAATGTTAATTGTTTGACGTTACTGGCCGATGGTAGAAGCGATAATAATGACCAGATAGAAGCTTTAAAATAGGATTAGGCAAGGATTAATCCATTGATTGCCGGCAGACTCAACATACACACGATAGTGTATTGATCTCAATACTTTGTTTTGCATTCATGATACATGATACATGACATGATACAGACATGATACATGACATGATATGATACGTCGTGTAATATGATTAGATGGAGTAATGGGTGAGATAGCTGGTTTTTCGAGTGCAAATAATAAATCCTCGTCTAATGCATTGAAGGATAATCATCATTTGAGAGAGAGAGAGAGAGAGAGAGAGAGAGAGAGAGAGAGAAAGGGAGAGAAAAGGAATGATGAAACTATGATGATAATTATAAAGATTTGTAAATCTGTGATGATAAAATGTTTATAAAAGATGAAAAATTATTAAAAAATTATGAAAAAGATGTTTTTTTACCGGTGTCAGCTTGGGGTCTTGATCTGCTGTTGTATCTGCTTTCATCCAACATGCTCTCTATCATGTCCAACTTTTTTGTTCTTTAATCGTTCGTTCGTTCGTTCGTTTGTATGTTCGTTCGTTCATGTGTTGTGGTATTGTTTGTTCGTTTATTCATTTCAATGAAAAAGATAATAATAAAAATAATTAATATCAATAAATAAATAAAATGATAGCTAATAAAAATTTCAAAATCTCACCCGCTACCCGCCGACTGCCCTTTGGAATGACCTTGAATGCAGCGGAAGTAAAACAATGACGTCATAATGATGATGATGATGGTGGTGGAGGTGAGGAGGTTAGCCCTCTTTCTGGTGCATATCAACAACGACATCTTCAGACCTCTCAAGTCTTTCTTATGGATCTCTTAATTCAATTTTAATTTACTTTTGATTATTTTTATTTTATTTTATGATAAATTATATTTTTTTGATCGTTAATTATTATCGATGTTTTTCGTATTCTGTTTGATTTAATTAAATAAGTTCACTTTTTTAATTTAAATTTTTTGAATTTATTTCACCATATCGTCCTATCTTTTTTATTTTTTTTTCATATTCGTGCTTACTCCTGTCGTCTGCATACGTGCGATTTTAAATTTTGTTCTTCCGTTATTGCGTTTGCTTGTTTGTGAGTGTTTGTTTGTGTGTGTATGTGTGTTTGTGTATGAGTATGTGTGTGTTTGTACGTGTGTGTTTGTGCGTGTGTGTTTGTACGTGTGTGTATTTCTTTAAAACATTGGTTCGTTTGTGCCTTCTTGTTCAGAATTTTTTTTTCTTCCATAAAATTTTATTATCGTTTGATGTTTGTTTATGCATTCAAGCCTTCACTCATTTATTTGTTCACTTGCTCAACCAATCTTTCTCGGCTGTTTTATTCATTTATTTTTCACTCCGTTATTCATTCATTCATTCGTTCGTTCATTCATTCATTCGTTCGTTCATTCATTCATTCATTCGTTCATTCATTCATGCTTCAACAATGAGTTTATGTGTCTGTCTGTTAAAACGTTTGCATATTGTTTTTTCAGATGTTCATTTTTTGTTCATTTGTTTGTTTTGTTCGTTTATTCAATCAACTATTCATTCATTTGTTCATTCATTCATTCGTACATTCACTCATTAATTCTTTCTTTCTTTCTTTCTTTCTTTCATTCAATGATTCAATCAATCACAAATTTTGTACCTTCGCCTCTAATATTTTAAATTTCTCCATGTTTTGTTGGCAAATAATAATTTAACGTCTCACAAATTAGACAAGTCAACCAGGCGGAGAATGTAAATAAGGACATTTTTATAGACATCATCAAAATACTGAATAATAATTTAATAACACACACAAATAAGATTATAAATAGTAATTGTACCATCCCAAAAATATCCAATAAACCAAGTAACTGCTACGAACAAGAAGAATTTCCTTAAACATCTTGCAAAACTTAACATTGAAAAGGCATTCCTTATATTTTTAAAGTCAGTTCACCGAAATTACATTGTAAAATCAGCATTTTATATAGAATAATCCTCAACTTTTTAAGTCAAATCCAAACATTTTAAGAAAATTGAAAACGACTATTTGATAAAGTATGGCGAGATTTGAAAATAATGCGAAGCAGTTGAATGAAAGCTGTAGAAGATGTCGTATGTTTGGATTAGATGGATGGTGAGTGAGGTAAACATACGAAAAAAGAAAATTATTATTGTTGTTGTTGCTGCTGCTGCTGTTTTTTCTAGTTGTTTTTTGATTTCGAGATATCTTTTTTTACATTTTGAATCAAACTCAAATATTCTCCACAAGTAAGATGGACAGATTTCATTCACATTTATGGGTAAGGTTGCAAGGGTTTAACTTTAAAACTTCTCATGGAGATTTTGTAAAATTGGACCATAACCTTATCTAAGACACATAATGTTGGGAGGACCGCAACCCTGAGGCTCCTCTACCTTGGCTATCCCTCTAATAGTTATGAATACAATGCCCTATCCCACCACACCCTTACGTACATAGATAAAGGTACATACACACACACACACACACACACACACAATCAAAGATGCACACATAAACATCTCATTAGCATGCATGCCTACACTTATGTGAGCAGGCGAATATAAAAACAGACCAAAACAACAGACAATAACAATAACGACAACAACAGCAACAACATCGTCAACAACAACAACAACAACAACAAAGATACCAACATCAACAAAGAACGTCCAGCTAACCGAACAATAGCTCTCAACGAGGTAAGCTTTGGGGACATTTTAAATTGTGTATACAAGCTTAAGCGCTAACAAAAGCTGACGTAAAAACAAAAACGATTTTCATTATTTTTATCGGTCGACGACGAGAATAGCTTGATGTCGGGAGTTCACTTGTTGCATGGGTTCTTTTCAACACAGAGGAACATGGGTTTATCATAAACATTGAAGTATTTTCAATAAATTTTGCAATTGTGTATGATGCAGACGAAATTGAATTTAACCACAATGAAATAAACATGCATGCACGTACATCATATACACACACATGCATGCATGCATGCATGCATGCATACACACGCACACATACACACGCACATCCGTACAAAATGCACCTACATACATACCATGCAATCCTTGAACAAGGTCTTCTTGATACATTACATACACGCACATACGTATACATGACAATTCAGATACACTTGAAAAATTCAGAATCATAGTATATTTATACATATACATGTATTAACAATTTTAAGTTTGTGTGTATGTGTGTGTGTGTTTACAACCATAAAAAAATATGCAATTTTGCATTTATTTAATAAAGAGGACGGAGATGAGATTGCTTTGAGATGTAAAGACACGAACGAACTGTTGAATATATTGGAAGATGTTCTATTTACTTCAAAACTACATACACACACACACGTGAAAACATACACACACATAAAAACACATACACACATAAAAACACATACACACATGCATACACACATACATACGTACATACATACACGTACATAGAAAGCTATATACAAAACAAACGAACACCGATGAATAATTATATTAAACTGGACGCATGCAACTGTCATTTCTTCAGTGCATCAATGATAATGTGTGTGTGTGTGTGTTTGTGTGTGTTTGTGTGTATGTACGTGTGTGTATAATATACTTTCACATATTGATTGATAAAATTATATTTAAGTAACATCGAACTGTTCATAATATTGTATAAATAAGTTAGTAATAAATGAAAAACTGGGTAGAAAAGTGAGAGCAATGCGTTATTAAATGTTCTTTCAAGAGCCTTTTGGGTGTCGCGGTGCAGTAGTTTTTTTTTAAACTACATGCGGATCAAAGTTCACACCTTTGAATCTTGTCTTACTCCTTTCTACTGTCTCGCTTTCTATATATCTTAGTTTGTCCTATTACCTGTCCGTCTTCTTATTCTGTTTGTAAACTTTGTGGTTTGGAATTGTGTTGTATGATTTTTTTTAATTAAATCATTCTGTCATATATGGAACCTTTTTAGACATAAATTATGTTCACGTAGAATTATTTCTCATATGTATTTTAAATTTGTTTAATTCGTTATTTTTTTAAAACTGTTTAAACAATAATGACAACGATACATTCGCAACATCAACAACGCCAACGATGACAGCGTCAGCAACAACAACAATGACAGCATCAACAACAATGACAGCATCAACAACAACAACAACAACAACGACAACAACATACTATTCAAGACAACCCAACAAAGACATCATGTACAATTCTCATCCTACATTTGTTCAATTGATTTCATTGAACATGTTTGTTCCTTACACCCATCTGCCAGCCATCCAACGGACCAACCAACGCTAGCTTTCTATTCATTACTACTACTACCACTACCACCACTATTACTAGTACAACTACTACAACAACAACAACAACTACTACTACTACTACTGCTGCTACTACTACTACTACTACTACTACTACTACTACTACTACTACTACTACTACTACTACTACTACTACTACTAGTACTACTAGTAGTAGTAGTAACACTACTACTACAGCCGCTAGCAGACTTAAATCAAAAAGCTTAAATTATAGCAACAACTCAATGTTGAAACAAAATCAATAACAACAACAACAACAATAATAAATATTATTACCAAACTAACCGATCTAGTTCCTAATATAGAATTAGTTTTTCGATATTTAATTCTACAATGTTATAACCTTATACAATTACGTTATCTATTGACGTAACTAAGTTGTGATGCTATTTTCATTTTATATTGATGTCATTTCGACTTTAATGTCTCTTTGTATTGCTGCTAGGATGGTGTTGTTGCGATATTATTACTTCGTCTTTTGGCTTTTGTAATCAGTCAAAATTCAGCAATTTATCAATAGTTTGTCGCATTTGGTTTAATTATTTGTTGCAAAGGTGTAGTCAATTTTTCTTAAATTTTTTTTTGAAAAGAAGACTTTAACATTTTCAAGTTTAACCTTTAAATTAATTTATATCAAAATTATAATTAATTAATTGTAATAAATCTATTTTATTCATTTTTTTTGTTAAAATGTTAAATATATTAAGTTACAGCACATTTTTCGAAAATAATTTAAATGGAATGTCAAAATGATGTGACTCTATACGGATAACTTACTTATATACGATTACATACATGGTGTATATCGTCGAATACATACATACATACCTACATACATACATACCTACATACATACATACATACATACATACATACATACATACATACATACATACATACATACATACATACATACATACATACATACATACATACATACATACATACATACATACATACATACATACATACATACATACATACATACAT